CTGAAGAGTTTGGGTTTTTACTGCTCACATTGAAGCAAACCTGAATAAAAGCAATTGAATCTCATTTGTAAGGACTTAGGATGATCTCTACAGGTAAAGGCAAGGGAAGCAAAATGTTTTCCCTTTTATTGCCATCCAGGCAGCACAACAAGCAGAAGCAGCGTGTGCTTTATGGGCCGGCAGGGAAAGCCCATTTTTGATGAATCAAGAGCAGAGGGGATCCATCAGACGTGTGACAACCTCAGCACTCCCTGCCAACACCCCTTTGAGAAGTGACAGTTCAGGTGTCTGAAAGGTTTCCTACAAATACACCTACCAAACTCACCCACAACCACATCCAAATATAACTCAGCAGGACGTGCTACTGCCACTTCTCTTCTTTGAGGCGTTCTTCAGGATGTCAAGGTACCTGATTCCACTCTGTCTTCCATTTTATCACATCAAACTCCTCAAACTAAGACTGCAGGCATGAGAAAAAGAAGACCTAAACTCCATAAAAAGAAGTATTTCCTAAACTAATTCAGCATTCTTAGCCTCATGGCTCTATTTAGTGATGTGCCATGGCTAAACAAAGAAAAAAACTGAAACATCCACACGTGCTCCCCAAGAAGTTTTCGCTTATGCAAGGAAAACGACACCTAGAATATCCCAATTTTGACTGAACGTCTTTCCTACATAACCTCCCAGTGGTCAAACAAGAGGGAACCTCTGGCCTTGTCATGATTTACAGCCTCATCCATCAAAAGGCTTCAGGACCTTTTAACAAATGAAAAGCACAAATGTTAAGAAAACAGCAATACATCAGGGGCCAGAGCCAGGACTGACAGAACCAGCACGAAGGGAAAATGCTGGCACGGCTATCAGGAAAAGACTGCCTGGCAGCAAGAAGTATTAGTAAAACCTTCCCAGGGGAGCTGTTAAACCAAGTATTAAAGTTCATGAATTACATGAACGAAGAGTTAAAGTTCACACCAAGCAGAGCTCTGGAAGGAACACTCCAGTGCCAAGAGGACAGCTAGGAAAGCTGACAATGTTTCCCCTAGTCTAGGCTCAGCTGTCAGAATCACCACAGGTTGGTTGGTCTTTTGAGTTGTTTTTTTTGTTTTCTTTCTTTTAAAAAAGTTGATTAGACATCAGACTGTCCACAGGAACAGCTCTCATTTCATAGAACAGTTTTGATTGAAAAAAACCCTTTATGATCAACAAGTTCAACCATCAATGAAGCCCTAAGTCCAACACTAGACCATGTCCCTGAGCACAACATCCACTCATCTTTTAAACGCCTCCAGGGATGGTGACTCTACCACCTCCCTGGGCAGCCCCTTCCAGTGCTTGAAAACCCTTTCAGAGAAGAAATTCCTCCTAATATCCAACCTAAACCTCCCCTGGCACAGCTGCTTGTCCTACCACTGGCTACAGGGGAGAAGAGACCAACCCTCCCTCACTAACCCCTCATTTCAAGGAGCTGTAGAGGGCACTGTCTCCCCTCAGCCTCCTCTTCTCCAGGCTGAACCCACCCAGCTCCCTCAGTCGCTCCCCATCATTCTTGTGCTCCAGACCCTTCAGCTCCATTGCCCTTCTCTGGACATGCTCCAGCCCCTCAATGTCCTTCTTGGAGTGAGGGGCCCAAAACTGAACACAGGATTCGAGGTGCAGCCACACCAGTGCCAGTACAGGGGAAGGATCCCTGCCCTGCTCCTGCTGGCCACACCACTCCTGATGCAGGCCAGGATGGTGCTGGCCTTCTTGGCCACCTGGGCACACTGCTGGCTCATGTTCAGCCACTGTCGACCAGCACCCCAACCACTCCAGGCTGCTCTTCAGCCACTCTCCCCAAGGCTGTAGCAGTGCATGGGGCTGTTGTGACCAAAATGCAGTATCTGGCACTTGGCCTTGTTAAACCTCATACGATTGACCTCAGCCCATCGATCCAGCCTGTCCAGGTCACCCTGTAAAGTCTGTCTACCCTCAGGCAGATCAACCCTTCTGTCCAATTTAGTGTCATCTGCAAACTTGCTGAGGGTGCACTCAATCCCCACATCCATGTCATTGATAAAGATGTTAAACAGAACTGGGCCCAGTACTGAGCCACTTGTACTTAAAACACAACCCTCCTGCAAGACTAAAACACATGGAAAAAAGAAACGTGACAGGGTGTAGGCTTGCACAAAGCTACCCTTGAACACAACAGAAGAGGAGCAGAAGACAGCTAGTGTGCTGCAGGGACGTAGCAGAAGCTCCAGGTACTGAGCTCTGGCTGTCACAACCCAACTGTGACAAACTGAGACAGAACTGCAATTTGCTCAGTCCACGGAGTAAATCCTCTGCCAATCTCACAGCGACGTGGGACACGCTAACTGCTGCCGGTGATCAATAAAAATGGCTTTGAACATTTACGAGTAAGCACAAAG